CCAAGAAAAAAATTTGTATTATGTTTAATGTGCAATTTATGTAAATTCTTCTTGCTGTAAGTTTCACGGTGGGTTTTAATTTATTACAAGTTAAGTAGTTTATATATATATATATATGGCTTATGTCTGTTAATACAAATTAACAACCGTGCTTTTGGGTAATTATAAAAGAGGACATAAAAAAAAAAATCAATATGTTTATTTTACAAATCAAGCCACTTTTACATCGATGTTATTTGGTTTAGTTGGTAACAGAATGGGGTGACATGAATCGAACATTGGTAGAGAAGGTTCGATGTATGTTGTACAATGTTGGGTTGTGCAATGAGCACTGGGTTGAGGATATAACATACGCGCAGCATCTCATAAATCGATCGTCTTCTGCAAAAGATGGTAAAACACCATTGTAGGTATGGTCTGAGAAACTTGTTGCTGACTATGTATCATTACATGTCTTTTGGTGTCCTACGTACTATCATGTGAAATATTCAAAGTTAGACCCATGAATAAAAAATATTTTGTTCATGGGAATCAACACTGGCCTGAATGGAGTCTTAAGTGTCTTGAGTCCAAATTGACATCCAAAAGTCGTTAGACGATCGTTAGATGGTGGACTGGGACTTAACGTCTAGGGCACCCAGACAGGGACTAAGAGAAGCCTAGGTGAGATCGATAAAATATTGTAAATATATTTATATTTATCCTCATACATAACTTATAAGATATATTATATAAAATATATTAATTAATATGGTCATATAAAAGAATTATACAAAAGATGCATTCATAATTGTTTTATTAATTGTGACACGATTATTAATATTTTTATTATATAGTTAATATAAATTTTATGGGTAAAAATTAGAACTATTTTTATTTACCTAAAGTAAACTAAAAAAAATGAAAAAAAAAATAATATGTGGGTGCCTAGACACCGCCAAGAACGCCTAGGCGTCCGCCTAGACCGCCTAGCCCGCCTAGGCATGAGCAGCTTCACAACCGCCTTATCCGCACTATTATTGAAAAGATAATATGCACCATTAGCAACCATGTTTCATGAGGATTAATTTAAGACATTGTTCTCATTTCCAAAACGAAATACCTAACCGAATTTTTAATTTAGTGTGTTTCGGTTCCATTTTTCTTGTATAGAATTTTTCTGGGTTGGTATTGATTCAATTGTTTTCAACGCTACAGTACGGTTCTTTTAACATTTTCAAGAGTTCGGTTTAGGTTTGTGGTTTTGTACGAGTTTTGCACCGAACTGCTCTAAATTAAATTCAAATATATATAAAAGAATGAGTCAAACTAAAAAATCAAAATAAACTATGCATTTGTTGTGGTGCTGCTTGATTGTTCTAGTGTTGGAAAATTTTTAAATTTGACCTTAATTCATTTCTTTTCTATGTTATAAGATTGAGCTATTTTTGTAAGATTTTGATTTTTCAATTTTTTTTGTTTTATACAGAACAACTTGGTTGTTCAACCCTTACATTTTCTAGTGGATGATTCTCATAAATATTTTTTTAGAAAAAAAAAAAACAAATATTACAGAATTTCCATCATTCCAAAATAATCGAAAAGAATGATCCAATGATTGTCTTAGGTCTTGTATTTTGGAAACAAAATACAGAAAGCAAGCCTGTCGATTTGTAGTATACTATAATTTAAGAGACGAAATTAATATTAATTTAAGCAATAATTGATCAATAATATGGGACAAGATTAAACATTCTGCAACAATCAAGTGAGTGAAAATCGCGGCCCAGTTGACTCCACTCAAGTGTACGTTAATTGTGCCATTAAATTCTATATTTCTATGATATTAAATATAATGAATCTTTGTACCAAAAAAAAAAAAATATAATGAATCAGATTAAGAATCTCTCATATCATTTTGATTTCCTCTTTTCACGATACTTTGAGCTCCTTCAACTCTTTTGGTCACTGATATTAAAATATAATTGAATCAGATTCAGAATCTCTCATACTTGTTTGGGACTACGGTGATTGCTTTTTGTAATCCTAATAATGCTTCAACCACATACTTATCAACAAGATCAATAATTTTTGGGCCACTGTTCCATAACGTATTTTCGCTTCTTCTTAACCCAAATGATAGGGACAGAAAATGTTCCCATTTTAGGGATTTTTTCATGAACAAATCAATCCAGTGAATACAAGGTTGGGCCTACTGCTGTTAATTAAACGAGTCTGGCTCGGCTCGGCTCATTAAGGCTTGAGTTCAAAGTCTTAATGAGCCGAGCTCAAGCTCATTTAAAGCTCGTTTGGTTAACGAGCCGAACTCGGCTCGGCTCGATAAGCTCGTTAAGACTCGAAAAGTGAAATTTATGTAATTTTTCATAGTTCGGCTCGTTAAAGCTCGAAATCGGCTCGTTAAGGCTTGAGCTCGAGGCCTTAACGAGCCGAGCTCGAGCTCAATTTTTGACTCGTTTACTTAACAGCTCGACTCGTTAAGAGCTCGAGATTGAGGTCAAACACCTTAAGCTCGAGCTCAGCTCGGCTCGTTTATAGCCCTGTTGGGCCTATAGCTAGGTCCAAGAGGATCAAATACGTGTAG